AGTGGTTGTCAACACCTACCCGGTCATTTAATTATATTGTTTTGGATACAAGCAACACCGTGTTCCATGGAACGTCTCATGTAAACTTAAAACGTCCTAAATTGAGTCTATGTCTCTGGTTTAGTACATGGACAGGCGACGTTGGAGAAGTGTATGCCTTGCTCAATAACAGGCACATGATATATACAGCTTGTGATGGGACATTTCAATCTCCCAATCTGAGTAACAGGTATGATACCATATGAATTGAGTCTATGTCTCTAGTTTAGTACATGGACAGCCGACGTTGGAGAAGTGTATGCCTTGCTCAACAACAGGCACATGATATATACAGCTTGTGATGGGACATTTCAATCTCCCAATCTGAGTAACAGGCATGATACCATATGAAGTGCCGGCGTACATGTATATGTTCACTTGATTTTTTATAACATTACTGCAGATGACATGAAGCGAAATAATAATTATTTCGAAGTGAAATGACACATAGTCTGTGGACATTCCTCTTCAGTAATGAATTACAGTACTCACATGAAGTGATTCCACAACATACCAGTTATAATAGTAAACAATAATTGCAAAGTTTAGGACAGTACTTGGGTTAAAAACGCGTTCAGGTATTTCTCGCCCAGACTGCCTGCTTTTCCGAGGTTATGTTCATCTGCTCATCCATTTGATTACCGTGTCCACACACGATGCCAAGAATTACTATTAACACTGAAGATGCCTTCCGTCGTCAGGGGATGCATCTCTGACAGGCTTTCATTGTGTGGAAAACGACCGAGGGAAATAGGATGTTAGTCATGAACAGCTAGTTACAGACATTAATTCCTATATTACATTTTCACAATGTCAAGATGAAAGCCATACCTTCAGATTTGCTTTGGACTGACTGCTTCCTGGTGTATTTCTGTAGGTAGTTAGCATCACAGAATAAATTATATGGTAGGTTGACGCTGCAACAACGTCTACATATCAGCCAATGAAAACATCTGTAACACCCCGCTGCACCGATAACTTTAGGCCAAATACCTAAATAACTTTGTTTTGGAATCACAATATGGAGCGTGTGATTTCCGCAGTATCATATTTTGTACGAATATTATATTTTTGTCTTTCGGGAACTGATTTAAATATATCTTTAATTGATATTCACAACAAATTCGCAATATTTTTTTTACTATGCCTGCCCTTAATGAATCCACTCAAACATTTCGTGCATGAATTTATATAATGTCCGAGACCAGTGGGTCGAGTGTTATATGTTGAATGTGCTTAAAGCTGACCACGAGTACAGTTTGTAAGTGGATACGCAGAGGACACTGCATATGTCCAGAATTAATTACCGAGATAAAAATCAACTTTGACGTAATGTCTTAAACGTAAGATCTAACTTAACCATCTCAACGTTCCGACGATGTCCAAATAGGCGTTCTTTACATGTGCTCCTCAAATTTGAGGAAATGTGAAATCAATTTAAGTTCTGAAACAAATCTTGTTATAACCAGTCTATTAAATCTATGTACATGTATGCATGCATCTCGGTGCCTGCGTTCAGTACATAAAACTGTCTCACAGAAAGAGTCTCGCACGTGTCACTGTATCGTTGCCATTTCCCAAAATAAATATTCACAAACCTCGAATAGATATCTGTTATTTCAGGCGTATGTGGCCAGATGTATGTCTTTAATAAGAATATAACATAATCGTAAAGCATTACCATTAATTGTTAATGACCTAGTGGTGTATAGGAAAAAGGCTTGATGTTTACATACTAGAAACGTCTTTAATGTTCTTGTACCGTAAGACTGCAGCTGGTGAGGGCACTGTATAGAAATTTCCAGTAGCTTGTTAGGCTGTATTAGTATTAGTATCAGTGGGACAAGAGCGTGTCTACGTATCTCTCACATATTTTCATCACTTTGGAACCAGCTTTCACGTGAAGATCGCTCATCATCCCTGATTCACTCTGCCCATCCCATCTCAGAAGCTTGACCACTGTCGCCGCTGGTTGAATAGATATTATTATCACTGACTTTTGCCATTACCACTGTAACTTTGTACTGGATACTGATTAATGACATCATATTATGTCTTGCCATTGAAAAGTGTACTGCCACTCTATTGTGTACTACCATCGTAATTGCTGTGCAATAAGTTTAGTTGATTTGTAAACTTAGTGAATTTTGGACTGTTGTCCCTGCCTATTCTGCCTACCTATTCTCCCTGTCTTGCAGCAATCTATGCTTGCCGTAAAAGGTGACTATGCTTGTCGTAAAAGGCGACTAACGGGATCGGGTGGTCAGGCTCGCTGACTTGGTTGATACATGTCATCGATCCAAATTGCGTGGATCGATGCTCATGATATAAATCACTGGATTGTCTGGTCCAGACTTGATTATTTACAGACCGCCGTTGTATAGCTGGAATATTGCTGAGTGCGGCGTTAAACAACAAACCAACCAACCATGACTTGTCCCTGGCTATTCCCCCTGGCTATTCTCTCTGACAATTGTCCTTGGCTTATGTCTGCAGCATCCTAGACTTGACATTCACATTCAGCTGCCTTTCCACTGAAATACTGGTCAAGGCGGCCATGTTCTTTGGGGAAAAGAAATATACTCCCATGCAAACAGGAAACGGTGGTGAGATGAAATGAGGTTTAAGGTCGCGTTCAAGATTAAAAGATTGCATGCACGTGTGAGTGTGAGTGCATGCGTGCGTGCGTGCGTGGCTGATTGTACTATAACGGACTGATGCCGATCCTATAGTGCGAGCTCACTGAAATACCCCCCTCAGATCCAATATACTGATTCCGACTAGACATGTACTAGTTTTAGCCTTGTTGTCGAGCGTCAGGCGGGGTAACAACAAATCCTATCTTTTAACGTGTTTGTTTTATGACGCCGCCAGGAATCAAACCCCCGACCTACCGCTCTCATGGTACATGCTCTACCACTAGGCCACGGAGGCTGTCCACAGGTAATGGCAACACATATGACATACAGATGTGGCCGAACGTGTTTTTGTTTGTTTTGTTAATAATGTAGTAGGTGGTGTGTATATTTATAAGTAACGTATTTTAAGTCAGTACTGACACGACACCTTCATAGCTAAGCTGTTGTCCTCTGTAAAAGTCTGTATCCAAAAATAATGTTAACGGCAACAAATAATGGGTCGCCAAAACGCAGCTTAACAACCGACCATGGTAGAAAGTATCGAATGTTTTCCATGCATATGAAAATCAAAATTCACCTGCGTTTCCTTGTGCCTTTTCTGATCAACGGCACCCCAGTACGTCGATTCAGCATTCTTGTATCGATACTAGCGCCATGCCGATGACTTACGAAGAATATGAGAAACCAGGCATTTTGAGGTGAGGTGAAATGGGGTTTAACGTCGCGTCCAAGATTATTGCACTTATATATAGCGACGTGCATGCACTTGTGTGTTTGTGTGTGTGGCTGCTTGTACAAGTCCGGACTGATGCCGATTTATAGTGCTAGCTCACTGAGATACCATGCCGCAGTTTAACATGAATACCCCACTCAGACAGTATACTGACTCCCCGCCGACCAGTCCTTGTTTTAGCCCCTTAATGCCGAGCGCCAGACAGGGTAACAACAAGTACCATCTTTTAACGTCTTTTGGTATGACGCGGCCGGGAATCGAACCCCGGACCTTCCGCTCTCCGGGCGGACGCTGTACCACTAGACCACGGAGGCGGTCCCAGGCATTTTGACTACATGTTGGCCAGGCCACACGAATGGTTGCCAATGCTTTTCATCTCCACATGTGTACACGTGTGTCTCTGTGTGTTTAATTGCTTTAGGTATGTTATATGTTAGGTTGTATTCTCAATATTATCTAGCGTTTGCATGAGAGGCTTATTTGTAATGTTTTATAACTTATTAATAGCACACTTTCACAGTATTGTAGCATTTGTATTACAGTGTGTAAATTATGTGCCACATGTTGAATATGATTAAGAGTACTGGTACATTCATTTTTCTACATTAGTTTATGGGACAATAACAGATGGTAACAGCAGCTATGTGCCATTTCTGTTATCTTCCTATAATATTCATATGTTGGTAATTAGTATCAATAGGTTTCCCTCAACTTAATATTTAACATGATTCGAGTTCCGAAGTTTTTGTATATTAATCACATGTAATAATTTCACAATTTAGATCAGACCAACAACATAGAGTGTGATCAGCTGTCCGGCGTTTAGACCTCTGAATACACACATACATGATCTCAAAAGATGACTACCTTGATGTATGCAATAGTGTGTCACGGTTTAGAATAAAAAGGTAGACATCTTGAATGGAACCCTGGGATTGCATAACAGGGCATATGACAATAGCATGGTCTTAACAATCGATAATATATCATTGAAATTTGCCAGACTCATGTTTCTTTGAAAAGAAATTATTGAATTCATTGTGTACTTATTGTGTTGGTGTGATTTCACCCCGATGTGCGCGTGCGTGCGTGTGCGTGTGCTTCTGTTTGTATTGTCTATTGCGATTCTCTGGTATGAACATTATGAAGATGAAGTCGTGTTTTTCGAGGTTCCATCACCCACGTCCAATATGTATTTTATGTTTGAGGTTCAGGTATTTGCAAATCAGTCGTGTCATTAATATTCCATCACACAAGTTTTTGCAGTGATAGAGAATTACATTGAAAAGTAAGTGAAAATAAGGATCAGTGTCAGACTTACACTTTAAGGACAGACCACTTGCAACGTCTATTTGTCCACTGCACGATTCCGGCATTTTATTATGATATACCTTCTGATTACATGGGATGTTAAAATGCCCCCCAAATAATATTCAAAATCCTACTGAATCTAAAAATGGAATTGTTTTGAATATTTCTTTTTTGGAATACAATTTGGGGAACATGCTGCACCTTTATATCTCCAGTGTACACGTTGCTAAGATACATATAGCACTTTCAAAAGTGGATGATAATGCACTTCAAATGTGTCCATATTTGTTAACTTGGTTTATTTATCCTTAAGGAATTTTCCAGGTCTTTGCTCCTCAGTCGACATGGCGTTTTCCTCTGGGTTTACAGTAATGGGATTTCCTAGTTGAAAAAAAAAGAAAAATATCACAAATAGCTTCCTTACAATTTTGGGCTGTTTTATTTGGCACGTTCACCACCGAAATATAAAACGATTATCAGTTTCGATTATGTGACTAGGCAACCAATGGGCGTAAAAGGCAGAACAGGGGTGAAAATTACATGAATAGATCAGTGATGACACCAAGTGTGCGCGTAAAGGGTAAGCATGTCCTGCCTTGCATCCGCCATTCACATAATTTGCATAAAATATGTTTGTTGCCTGATGCCGCACAACAGTCAAGGTGTTAGGCAGTCACACGACAGCGCATTGACTGATCTTGTTGAAACTGAAACGATGTGTTAGTTTTGACTTAATATGTCCAAGTGCAGAGAACCTGCTTACTATAAGTAATGAAAAAACCGTTTAAGAAGTATGTTTGTTTCGCAACATAGTAGGGGGCGGTTTTAATGTCTTAATTTCTTTTGTTGTTGACTCAGCATAATTGATAAATGTTAGTGAGGTTATGATAAAACTGGGGCACTTCAGTCCACACGCAGAAACATCGACTTAGTTAAAGTAAATATACTCAACAACAAAAGTTCCTGTGACACAAATATTTTAGTGTTTTTTTCAAACAAGTAAAGTTTGTTTTCAATATTGTAGTACATGTATGGAATCAAGTCACAACAGCAAAGCATGCATTCCATGCAAAAGTTGAATTTTATGCAAGCCCCATGCATTTCACTACCCAAGAATGGGTATAAAAACATGTGCGTTAACGGGATTCCATATGCATTGTTTAGCATCGTGCTGACAACAACCACTCAGAAAAACAACGAAATTACGCAATTATTTAACATTACGAAATGATACGCCTGTCCGAAAATGAGCGTCTGCGAGCCATTGGTATGCTTGAAGCAGGATCGAGTCAACGTGATGTTGCAAGACAATTTAACGTTCACAGAAACACCATTTGGTGTTTATGGCAACGTTGGCAAAATACGATTGCGGTCAGTGACCATCCTCGGAGTGGCAGACCACGCGTAACAAAAAATCGACAAGACAACTGGATTCGAACAACACACCTACGAAATCTATTCAAGCCAGCAACAGTGACTGCAAGAAGCATCCCTGGCCTTCAACGAATATCTTCACAAACCGTACGTCGTCGCCTCAGATGTGCAGGGGTTGTCGCCAGAAGACCCGCCAGACGTCCCATTTTGACAGGAAACCACCGTCAAGCACGTCTACAGTGGTGCAGACAGCGTCTACGCTGGACGGCCATGCAAGTTCTATTCACTGACGAGTCTCGTTTTCACCTCAGCGATGGACAGATTCGAGTGTACCGACGTCGAGGTGAACGTTACGTCAATCAATGTGTCATGGAAGAAGATCGGTTCGGGGGCGGCAGCGTTATGGTATTGGCTGGGATGATAGCAAGACAGAGGACCCGTTTGATAGTGGTAGAGGGAAATCTCAACGGACAGCGCTTCCGCGACGAGATCATCGGCCCTGTCGTTCTACCGTTTTTGCGTCGTCATGGCCCAAGCATTTCCTCTCAAAATGACAACGTCCGGCCTCGAATTGCTCGACTTGTTCAGGATTCTCTTCAACAAAACAACGTGAATGTCATCCCCTGGCCGGCTCGCTCCCGTGATCTCACACCAATCTAGCACATGTGGGATGAGATGGATCGGCGCCTTCGACGTCAACTACGTGTTCCACAGACACTCCAGGAACTTCGAAACATGCTCCAGCAGGTATGGAAAGATATCCCACAGGACTTTGTGCGACGCCTGGTCGATTCAATAAGACGAAGATGTGTTGCTTGCATCGCAACCAGAGGTGGACACACACGCTATTGATTTGTATATTGACATTTTAGCATGTTCATGATTTTTTATGACATCACGCATTTTCTGAAGTCAGTATGGGAAATAAAACCAGCTGAACACTTACAGGAGACTTTTATTTGTTGCAAACCGAAATTGATTTAGATGTGGTAAAAAACATAACTTTGCATTAAATCTTATTCAATGTCACAGGAACTTTTGTTGTTCAGTATATAAAACGTCAGAGAATAACCCGTTTCGACTATCCCATTGAACAGACTCCATTAGGCACAAAAAGGCCAAAAAAGGGCCGACGTAGAAGACAGCAAAAGAGGTAATTGGATGAAATACAAGAGTATTAACACATTAATGCACTAATGAATTTGTACCCCGTTTATATCGGTTGCTTCTCAAAGTGACACTAAATATATTTGTAAGTCATAAAATAAACGTTTCTTACCAGATATTTTTAGAGCAGACATGAATAGGTATCGGTTGTGGCATTCCATTAAAGGACCTGCCCTTGGCCATAGACATGGGGTAAGCGCCCACATTCTCCACAAACAACCGGTCCCCGATTTCAAGGTCTGGTAAGTAACAATCCTTGAAAAGACAGTCGTCACCAGCACATGTATGTCCCCAGACACTGGACTTGAAAGTCTCGTCACTGCGCGGAGCCTGGAACAGCAATACGGAGGGAGTAGTCACATTTTTGAGAATGGAAAATAGTAACAGCACATGCATAAACATTCGCCTCTTACGACAAGCACAATCTCAAATTACAGCAAGCATGGGTTCCTGAAGACCTATTCCACCCAGGACCTTAACGGGTCTCGCCACCTGTTTTTTTTTTTTTTTGGTTGGGTTGTTGTTTAACGCCGCACTCAGCAATATACCAGCGATATGACGGCGGTCTGGAAATAATCGAGTCTGGACCAGACAATCCTGTGATTGACATAATGAGCATCGATCCACGCCGTTGGGATACAATGGCATGCATCAACTAAGTCAGCGAGCCCGACCACCCGACCCCGTTCGTCGCCTTTTACGACAAGCATAGTCGCCTTTTACGGCAAGCATGGGTTGTTGAAGACCTATTCTACCCCGGATCTTCACGGGTCAGTGAATTTAAGTGTGTGTGCAAGATAAAGTGTTATTTGAATCAAAGGACAAGTTATGCTAATCGACCTCCGTGGACCTTTAGGATCTTCAAACATTTAGAATCATTATCCTCTTCCTTATTTGTGAGAAGTTAAGTCATAAATCTTTTAGATCCTACCTTTAGCAACGATGGTAGTTTTGCTTGACTGCATTTCGTGAAGGTGTCGTTAAAGGTACCAAAGACGCTGTCATTCACAAAGTAAAGACTTTCCTCCTCAACTCCATCTGAAGGTGACAATGATGTGATCGTTGGTTTTGAAACATTTTGTTATATTTACACATGCACAAAAGTTAAGCGCCACCCACCATATTTGTGAGCTGTTACTTTTGGCACTTAATGATGACTATTATAACGAGATGTACGATTGTTATAAGCCGTATATGTAAACCTCATGTGCAAAAGTTGTCCCAAAGCAAGTTTATCTGTAACTGTCATGATATCAGCAGACCATATCAGGTGTCACATTGACACCCTAGGGAGTGCAGAGTCTATTGCAAGACAGAAACGTCAGTAACGTGTGTATGATCCACGGACATTGACCACAGATTCAACCCTTCATACTCATTACAAGTCGTTGAATGCTTCTCTGAGGCAAACGGATCCATTCTTCATGAAGTGCGGCCTCAAGTCCAGCGAGATTTTGAACTGGGGGATCACGATGTCTGATTGTCCGGCCAAGAATGTCCCAGAGATGCTCAATCGGATTAAGATCCGGACTACAGGCCGGCCAAGGGAGAGTGGCAATAGCTTCTTGACACACATAAGCCGAAACTGCCCTAGACCTTTGTGGTCTAGCATTGTCGTCCATGTAAACAGGTCTTGTCTGAAGAGGATGGTTGTCAAAATGAGGTACTACCCCTGGACGAAGAACGGTATCTTGGTATTGTTGGCCATTCAGGTTTTCACGAATTGTCACCAGCGGAAGTTTGCAGCCGAAGGAAACACAACCCCATATCATGACAGACACATGCTAAGGCCTTCTTGTTGTTCCTTGGTGCAAAACGAGTGTTACGTTGATCCAAACACGTATTCGACCATCAACAGTTCGTAGCAGCAATCGACACTCGTCAGACCTATGGATCCTTCTCCAGTTGGCCAAGTTCCATCGACTACAGGCACGACACCATATCAGACGATTCCGCATGTGCCTCTCAGTCAGTTTACTAGTCTTCTGGCGTTATAACCAGCCGCTCTGAGGCGACGCCTTACGGTCATCGTCGAGAGTCTCTGATGGGTAATCCACTGCAGTCTTAAAGCTATTGAAGTGGCAAATGGATTTCGTCTGACTATCCTGAAAAGACGTCTATCCTCTCTGTTAGAGGTCTTTCTTGGCCTACCAGACCTATGCCTGTCGTTGACATCATTGGTTGGACCATGTTTGACAATCAAACGAGTGATAACACTGTGATGACGACCCCCATTTATCTTGCAATGGCCCTGCATGACATGCCAGCATTTTCATGCCTATCACTTGCCATCTTTCAGCGTTCGTTAACTTTCTCCTCACCATGGCTGATTTTTAACCTCTATTGGAAGAGGAATCTCACACAGGAGCAAAATGCAACCACGTGTCTGAAACTTGAATTTCACTATTTATAGGATAGGGGAACTGTAGCAACACGTAAAGCACGCTTTCCTTGTGGTATCTGGACAAATTTGGGTGCATGAAACTATGGAAGCCTAATTCAGCCATACATCATCATATTTCGTATTTCTGATTCCCACACGTGACATCAAGATACTATGAATATGGTGGCGCTTAACTTTTGTGCATGTGTATATTTGTAAGTCACTGACTGAAAAGTTTTTCATTGATTTCATGATCAGGAGTGTGAGTGAGTGAGTACGGTTTTACGCCGCTTTTAGCAATATTCCAGCAATATCACGGCGGGGGACACCAAAAATGGGCTTCATACATTGTACCCATGTCGGGAATCTAACCCGGGTCTTCGGCGTGACGAGCGAACGCTTTAACCACTAGGCTACCCGACCGCCCCTGATCAGGAGTGATGCAAATCTGAGACTTTCATGACCTGTGAAGATGCAGGCTAGCATAGGTCTTCAGCAACCCATGCTTGCCGTAAATGGCGACTATGCTTGTTGTAAGAGGCGACTAATAGGATCAGGTGGTCAGACTCGCTGACTTGGTTGATGTATGTCATCGATCCCAATTGCGTGCATCGATGCCCATGATATTAACCACTGGATTGTTTGGTCCAAACTTTATTATTTACAGACCGCCGTCATATAGCTGGAATATTGCTGAATGCGGCATTACACAACAAACCAAACCAAAACCACGGTTATAGTGAACCAGGTATTCAAATCCACAACGAAAGGTTTCTGTCATATCTTTGGGTCCACACTTCTGCAGTGATTGCAGTACCTAAACAAGAGGGCGGTCGGGTAGCCTAGTGGTTAAAGCGTTCGCTCGTCACGCCGAAGACCCGGGTTCGATTCCCGACATGGGTACAATGCGTGAAGCCCATTTCTGGTGTCCCCCGCCGTGATATTGCTGTAATATTGCTAAAAGCGGCGTAAAACCATACTCACTCACTCACACAAGAACGTTTTTAGATATTTCGTTGTTATCGTTTGCGTGAGATCAAGCGATCTGTCCCAGGAGATATCACCTCAAATTGCATCACAAGGTTGTGCACACTATTGGGACGTCATTGGTTACCATGGCGTTTCAATCAAATGATATCACTAATCACTACCGACCCAGCTTTGCAATACGTTTTACACTAAAGACAATTACTGTTTACATACCTAATAAGTTGGCAGACTACTGTATCTTTTGTATGACATGTATCAACACTTGACTGTCTATATACAAGTTGAATCTTATCAAAGATATACACATTGAATCTTATGGGCCTGGTGTAATTATGTTACATAATAATTCAGCAAAAGCACTAATAATTATATATCCTGGAGGGGGTTACAGTTACAAGAGAGAAAGAAAGTTGTAATGGTGAGTCCCAAATTCAAATAATTAAATCTTCAACATTTAAATCACCGATGATTTGATGTCATGGATACCTGGATATCTTCAGCATACCAACCTTGTATTAACCTCTTCCCGATAACGGATACGACTAAGGTCGCACACGATGACACAAAGTAGCGGCCAGGCTCTGCTATTATCTGCACTCCTCTCTTAACAGGAAAGTGGCCCTCCAGGGCGCTGTTAAGAAGACCTGCAACCTGCACACATCAATTACAATTAGTTTACCATCCACTTGAGTGACTCATGTGCAGCTTCCTTCACTCGTGTGGAGGACCTTAGCTTCGGTACCTTAACAAAGGCGTCTTATTTTCGCCAAACTGATAATGACTCCCACTTTGGCTTTCCTTGAAAAGTAAAACCAATCACTATCATCGCGCGACTAAATCACTGCTTCAACGCTGTTAAGAGTGTTAAATTCATGATCAGTCAAGAAAAGATGAGGACTCATTGATTGTTTTACACTGCATTTTGCATTTAGTGATAATTAAATTGGTTGCAATATTCCCAGGCCAGAATAATACGAAGATTTGGTTCAAATACACTAACGGAAAGCAATATCAAAAAGAGAAATCACACAGAAATCATGTAAAATACTAACAACTAGCAACCGTCATGTCTTAATTCCTGCATATGTACATTAATATAATGGACCCTGACTGCATGTACTGCAAAGAGAACAAACCGACTTCTTTATGCCAGATAATACCAATCTTCGGAACTAATATTTCAGCATAAAAACCTAACTCACGTTCAGCACCAGAACAATCATTTAAAATCCCATTCAATATGGTTTATGCTGCTGAGTATGGTATGATAGTGACAACTTACTTTCCAATACAAAAGTACCATCGTTTGCCTGTGGGTATTTATGAAGTTACCTCTATAAACTTCACAATAAATGCCTTGTGCCCAAAGAACCCCCCTCCAACATCCAGCACACTCAGGGAAATGTTGAGTTCGGAGGCAATGGTAAAGGCCCTGTCAGCTCTCTCTATGGCATCAGTGAACACACGGCCATCCAAGATTCCACTTCCAACATGGAAACTATCAAAAGTATACAATAAAAACAATACATATCGACGAGTGCTTGTATATTGGATACATTAGGACACGATGAGCGCTTTTTTTATTTATAATTACATATCATCCTGATTTCAATGCACAAACATGGGAGCACCTTTAGAATGCAGAACCACGGCTTCTCGAGAGGACGATCTCTGCCGCAGGTCGCATGTCCCAGCAGTGAGACAAGCCACCAGTTTTTGTGAGAATCCGTTGGACGCGAACTCACGACCTTCGGGTTGTAAGCCCGACTGCTGCCCGACTGCTAACCGACAGAGCTACGTCCACACTGTGGAACTTAGTGCAAATTAACCTAGTCATGCCTTCGACGTTACGGAACTGAACGAAAAGGATCGAATAGGTGACTGAAACTTACGAAGGTTACGGGTAGGCATGTGTCTCGTGACTTTAGTCTACAGACACTTAAGAATGACACTCGTCCCATTCCGTTATGTACAAGATACCGAGTGGTGAGGAATGAGCCGATATGGCGCGAACTGAAAACGGCTCCAGGCGTCAGACGTCAGACGTCGAACTCGCGAGTACGCATGCATAACATGGTATTTAATAACGAGCTGCGTAGATCGATGCTCATGATGTCACTCACGGGAGAGTCTGGTTGAGATTCCATTATTTACAGACCGCCTTCATATAACTGGAATATTGCAAGAGCGCGGCGTTAAGCAACAACCAAACAGAAGATCAACTCGCAAAATAATCAAAGTGCTGAAAGCACATGGCATACGCATCGATGTCCACGTTTGATTGGATAATAACAACACCGTTTTGTCAAAGATATATCACAGAGAACGAGGAACACACACAGTACCTGATTCCCACAACATTCAGCCCCATGGTCTTAGCTGCGGCAAGAAGAGACCGGACCTCGTGCTCGTCACATCCATACTGGACGCTCAAACGGTGTTGCACTTCATATTTGTCAGAAGCTTTTATTCTCAGCAACAATCTGAATGGATACAACAAACTTCTTAATGATGCTGAAAGTATACATTGTAAGTACTGGACGTACATATATTTCAGGTACCACACTTGCCTTAGCTTGTATGCGGCCTTATATGTCACGCATGGATCAACCAATTAATTAAGCGGTACATAGATATGTGATGGTATTTGAGGCCTTGTCAGAAGGCTGAGGTGAGGTGAAATGGGGTTTAACGTCGCGTCCAAGCTTATTGCGCTTATATAGCGACGTGTGTGTGCGTGCGTGCGTGCGAGCGTCTGCTTGTACTAGTCCGGACTAATGCCGATTTATAGTGCTACCTCACTGAGATACCATGCCGCAGTTGAACATGAATACCCCACTCAGAATATCCCACTCATACGGACTCCCAGCCGACCAGTCCATGTTTAAGCATTGGCACCAGACAGGGTAATATCTCTTATTTTCTTTGTGTATATTGTATATTCTTTGTGTTGTCTAAGGCGCCGCGATTCGCTGTGCTGAGTTGCGTCCCTTGGGCACGCCAGAAACCTATGATTGTGGGTTCGAATCCTGGTTCGCCCCGATTATGTGTCTAGGTTTGTCAGCACCATACCCGTGCTCGTGGGTTTCACCGAAGCGGTAAACGTCTGAGACCTGCATCACTTCGGGCTTTCCTCCCACATTAAGCTGACACGCCGTGATATAACTGGAATACTGTTAAAAGCGGCGTAAAACCCAACTCACTCACTGTGTATATAGCGGGCGGTGATCGAACCCCGATATTCTGCTCTTGAGGTACGTAATACATTGCAGTTTATTCTTTCGTCTGTCATATATATTTTGGCCTGTGTTTGTTTCATAATTACAGATATTATACCTTGCTTTGGGATGAAGTGACTTTACTTTGACGAGTTCATGCTCATTATCAAATGCCATCAAATCCACTCCCTTAGCCGCCGCATATCTCATGTCCCTCAGACATTTGACACTGTGGGAGTAGACAATGCTACTTGGTTCCACGCCCAAATCAAGAATAGAGGCCATTTCATTCTGATGGAAAATAAAAACAATATTCTTGATTGTCAAGTCTTGCAGATATTCACTTGAAGATTAATTTCATAAACAGAAAGAGAAGTATTGTCTGTTTTTAATATTATAAAAAATTCAATTATTAGACAGATTGTCCAACTAGTGTAAAAGAAAACGAAGTTCTTCTCGTTTCCGTCACATGTTTTTGTTGCTCAGTAGCAATGTTTTTTAAAATTATATATTTCGTTTCGTCCACCCGCTCCCTTGTTGGTTGAGGATGGAGATGAGTAACACAAACATATCATGGATAGCCTTACACAAAGGACATTTGGCATGCCACAAGAGGAATCGACGGGGAATTAAAATCTGGGTCACGGGGACCCGCAATGTTTCACGGGGTGACTTTGCACGAGGAGCTTTCGGACAAGTGAGCCGCTGCCCAAACCCATTGCTACTGAGCAACGAAAACATGTGACGGAAACGAGAAGAACCTACTTTCATCACATGAAATTATTTTTGACCATTACCAGGGTTTCCACGATCTTTTTGTTTTTGTCATACAGATTCTAGATGAAGGCAAGACGAACACGACTCAAAAATACACTGCTGAAATCACCGTTTGTCGTTGATATTTTGAGAAATGGTGAGTAAGGTGAAATTTGGTTTAACGTCGCGTCCAAGATTATTGCACTTATATAGCGGCGTGCGTAAGCTGGTACTAGTTCGGACTGATGCCGATTTATAGCGCTAGCACAGTGAGGTACCATGCCGCAGTTTTAACATGAATACCCCACTCAGATACAGTATACTGACTCCTAGCCGACCAGTCCTTGTTTTAGCCCCTATATGCCGAGCGCCAGACAGGGTAACAACAAGTACCACCTTTTAACGTCTTTTGGTATGACGCGGCCGGGAATCGAACCCCGGACCTTCCGCTCTCCGGGCGGACGCTCTACCACTCGACCACGGAGGTGGTCTTTTGCGAAATGATATTCCTAAACTGCAAATATACAGAGGACACAGTACACAAGAATACGTTTGGTACCGTAATGCATATTATGTTGAATGTTTTAATAACACCGCTCTCATTCATCAGGACACAACTTATTTCGAATAGGTCTACGAGAGCAGAACTAATTTGGGTGTGTTGGACTGGAATGAATACATAAATCGTGGACATTCCACTTTAACATTTTATGAAGCTGTGAAGACGACATAGCAGGAAGGTTTTGAACCCAAAGACTTTCGCGTTTGTTGAAAACTCTTTTGATTGTTTGATGTGAAACTGCCCACGTGGCTGGGTGTTTACATGTGACCCATTTACGCAATAACCAATGAAATTTGTGTGTTATCATAACGGCATGCTGACCTGTCAGATCACTCCTATAACCTCCGCCCACCGAGAGTGCGATTGTTCCTACCGAAAATACCGCTTTAAGTGATAAGAAGGGTAATCCATAATGGTATTTCACACACTTCCCTTCCCGAAGTTGCCTCCCACGTTCCTGTTTTGTAAATTACTGACGGTCGAGACGAAGGGGACACAATTTACGGATAACAACTTCCTTAATTACTGTAAAGGCGACGTCTCGGTATAGATCCTTATACTGTTGTCAAGCAAGTCTGAATAATGAGCATGGTCCACAACCTCCATGACTTCACGAAACAAATACTAACAGAAGCGGGGCGGTCGGGTAGCCTAGTGGTTAAAGCGTTCGCTCGTCACGCCGAAGACCCGGGTTCGATTCCCGACATGGGTACAATATGTGAAGCCCATTTCTGGTGTCCCCCGCCGTGATATTGCTGGAATATTGCTAAAAGCGGCGTAAAACCATACTCACTCACGCACTAACAGAAGCACCACCATCACAAGCCATCTGTTTCATCCCACCCGCCTACGTTGAACTCATTAAGCAATAAGCACCACACCTATGTAAACCTATCCTGTCTAATTGGCTTCATGTCTCATTGAGATCCACCTCATGTGTTCTCTGTCCATGTTGTTACCCACTGTATGCAATTGTTGCTTTTGTTAATGCTCTTCTGTTAATCCTCCACCTACAATATATACTGAACAACAAAAGTTCCTGTGACATTGAATAAGATTCAATGCAAAGTTATGTTTTTTAACCAAATCTGAAGCAATTTCGCTTTGCAACAGATAAAAGACTCCTGTTAGTGTTCAAGTGGTTTAATTTGCCATACTGACTTCAGAAAATGCGTGATTCATAAAAACATGAACATGCCAAAATGTCAATTTACTTATATATAGCGTGTGCGTCCAAATCTGGTTGCGATGTAAGCAACACATCTTCTTCTCATGGAATGGACCAGGCGTCACACAAAATTCTGTGGGTTATCTCTCCATATCTGCTGGAGCATGTTTCGAAGTTCCTTGAGTGTCTGTGGAACACGTAGTTGACGTCGAAGGCGCCGATCCATCTGATCCCACATGTGCTCGATGGGTGAGAGATCACGGGAGCGAGCCGGCCAGTGGATGACATTCACGTTGTTTTGTTGAAGAGAATCCTGAACAAGTCGAGCAACAAAAACGGCAAAACGGTAGAGCAAAAAACGCCAAAACGGTAGAACAACAGGGCCGACGATCTCGTCGCGGTAGCGCTGTCCATTGAGATTTCCCTCTACCGCTATTAAACGGGCTCTCTGTCTTGCTATAATCCCACCCCATACCATAACGCGGCCGCCTCAGAACCGATCTTCTTCCATGACACAATGATTGACGTAACGTTCACCTCGACGTCGGTACACTCGAATCCGTTCATCGCTGTGGCTAAGGTGAAAACAAGACACGTCATTGAAAAGCACTTGTCCCCACTGCATGGCCATCCAGCGTAGACGCTGTCTGCACCATTGTAGACGGGTCTTCTGGCGACAATCCCTGCACATCTGAGGCGACGACGTACGGTTTGTGAAGATATTCGTCGAAGGCCAGGGATGCTTCTTGCAGTCACTGTTGCTGGCTGGAATCAATTTCGAATCCAGTTGGCCTGCCACTCCGAGGATGGTCTCTGACTGCATTCGTCTGTTGCCAACGTTGCCATAAACACCAAATGATGTTTCTGTGGACGTTAAATTGTCTTGCAACATCACGTTGACTCGATCTGCATCAAGCATACCAATGGCTCGCAGACGCTCATTTTCGGACAGGCGTGTCAATTCGTAATGTTGAATAATTGCGTCAGTTTGTTGTTTTTCTGAGTGGTTGTTGTCAGCACAATGCTAAACAATGCATATGGAATCCCGTTAACGCACATGTTTTTATACCCATTCTTGGGTAGTGAAATGCATGGGGCTTGCATAAAAGTAAACTTTTGCATTGAATGCATGCTTTTCTGTAGCAGTTGCGTTTTTGTGACTTGATTCCATACATGTACTACAATATTGAAAACCAAACTTTACTTGTTTGAAAAATACACAAAACATTGGTGTCACAGGAACTTTCGTTGTTGAGTATATATTCTCTACCATGTTCATCATTTAGTCTTGCTTGACAATGGTATAAGGATCTATACTGAAACGTCGCCTTTACAGTAATTAAAGAAGTTGTTATCCATAAATTGTGTCTACTTTGTCATCCGTCAACTTCTAGGTAATTCCTATCAAACAATACTGACTGTTAAGAGACAATTTTCCCTACCCTGCTGGCACAGTCGAAGAAGACACCGAGATCAGCTAAGAGAGAGAGGATCTTGGGGTCGTTGTTGCTCTTGATAGCTGAAATCGAGACACATATGGACCATTCTGAATATATCAATGACACACAATATCTGTAGGCGTTTATATTTGCATATCTGTCCCTCTCTGAGAGAGAGTGAGTGAGTTGGGTTTAACGCCGCTTTTAACAGTATTTCATAACAGTATGACTTCGCGTTCAGGATAATTTCACTTGTACATGCACGTGTGTGTGTGTGTGGCTGCTAGTGTCAATCCTGATAATGCTTGCACACTGACATACCAGGTAACTGTAATGGGTTATGTTTCTGTTATTTTAAGATCTTAACTTACAGCAAGATAACCGTTTCCGTAATCGTCAAAAAATATCTATCTGATCGACTAGTGAAACTACATCTTAGCATACCCATGCCTATTAACATCACTAAAACACATCACTGAAAGTCAGGTTCGTCTAGGTGTACCGTGTCGTCAGTTGTTCATCCATCGCTGACTTTTTCAACATACCTCTGAAACCACAAGGTCCATGAGGCTGACACTTGGCTGATTACAGCTTTAACGTCTCTAAAATGCGAACACAAACCTCCGATCCGATGTAAACATTGCCCGCACAGGGTCCATTAAATATATGTTTTGTTTCAATCAATGACAAAACGAATGTCCGATGTAATTCCTTATTTTGATTTGTACCCTTATGTTCCCGTGTCTTTTTTCTAGGTGAACACTTGACTTGCCTTTGCATGTGTTTGTGAAGGTGCCACCGGTGGGGCTGGATACGCTCACCTTTTCACGAACACCTGGCACCATCACCACTTGATAATGATTAATAGACACATAATTGTGAGTGAGTATGGCTTTACGCTGCTTTTAGCAATATTCCAGCAATACCACGGCGGGGAACACCAGAAATGGGCTTCACATAATGCAACCATGTCGGGAATCGAACCCTGGTATTCGGCGTGGCGAGCGAACGCTTCAACCAATAGGCTACCCGACCGCCCTGAATAATTATGACATAGTTAGAATAGAACAGTAGACTCCATGAAGGAGTTTTGTTGCTTTTGTTTATTAACAGTTTACTTTCTACGTACCGAAATACGGCTCCACTCTTGGAAGATACTTGCGCCACTGTTTCAACTGTTTAATGACGTCATCCATATCAATGGTAATAAAGGCATCTTCATAATATTCATCCTTGAAAAGAACAAATCGCATAATATTGAACGGTTTTTGCAGGTCGTACATGTTACTCTTACAAAGTCGATTAAGTTTACAATGAGTGAGTTAGTTGGGTTAAATTTAACACCGCTTTTAACAGTATTCCAGTTATATCACGGCGTGTCAGCTTAATGTGGGAGGAAAGCCCGAAGTGATGCAGGTCTCAGACGTTTACTTCTTCGGTGAAACCCCCGAGCACGGGTATGCTGACAAACCTAGAAACATAATCGGGGCTAACCGGGATTCGAACCCACAACCATAGGATTCTGGCGTGCCCAAGGGACGCAACTCTGCACAGCGAATCGCGGCGCCTTAGACGACTGGGCCACCCGTGCGCCCAGTTTGCAATGAAAGTAGATCTGGTCGATTTTCCATTTGGAATTCGGTATCCTTCCATTGCATCTTGACAAGAAGTAGCCCTTTCTAACAAAATGTAGAGAATACCTTTTCCCTTTCTTGTGTAATAACTCTGTTGATTTTGTCTTTGATGTCTTCACCATCTTCGTAAAGTACCATGCTGCCCATACTTGTAACGTCTGCCTTCCTGAAGGTAAGCAAAACAGTTCTCATTGTGTGTGTTTTCCGTCACAAGCTAGAGTTTGTGTACTGAGATTTGGGCTAAGGCCTCCTTTTGTTGGTTTGGTTTGGTTGTTTTGTTGTTTTACGCCGCACTCAGCAATATTCCAGCTATATGACGGCGGTCTGGACCAGACAATCCACTGATTGATATCATGACCATCGATCCACGCAATTGGGAACGATGACATGATTCAACCCAATCCGCGAGCCTGACCACCCGTTCCTCTTACAAGCATAGTTGCCTTTTACGGCAAGTATGGGTTGCTGAAGACCTATGCTACCCCGGATCTTCACGGGTCCCTCCTTTTGTAATAGTAGTCATATCACTGCATGTCGGATTTATGTGAGCGCTTAGCCCTGGTTGTAAACGTTACCACCTTTGTGAAATCCAAGATCACCCGTGTAGTGTTAATTGGGGTGATTGTCGGATCCTGGTACGACTAAAAGACTTCGTCACTTATGCCCCACAAGCCCACAACATATACACTGTATTTGGCACACAATGTTTTGAGATAATATTGTGATGTAAACATAATTAAATATGTTTATTCAATGAATCTGGATCGGTAAACAAGCCAAACGGCTTATGTTAATACCTCTCCAGTAAAAGTTATTTTCATGAAGGCGTATTATTGAAGAAATACTATTGTGTGTTGCTTCCTCCTATATCCGAGTGAGTGTGAGTGAGTTTGGTTTTACGCCGCTTTTAGCAATATTCCAGCAATATCACGGCGGGGGACACCGGAAATGGGCTTCCTATATCCCAACTGAAAGTACAGATTTATATATGCAGCTATATTAAGCATGTGTAATCGTCTTTGTTTCACTCATGTTATATGTTAGAGATGCGTAGTCGGTTACATACACTGATAATACCAAGCTTTACATGGTCCTGTCCAGACAAAATGTGTATTTCTTCATAGATACAACATATTTACACGTTTTATATCAACCGATTAGAAATTATTTGTTAACAATTTTTTTCTATTCGCTAATACGTGTGACGCACACATTAGCATTTCCTCCATTTGGACATGCATGTATCTGCTTTGCTGAAGAAAACGGCATTTGATATATCATTTTCTTCATCCATATAACAGGCATGATAGCATCTGTACCGCCACCCTGACATTTACAGCGAAATGTAATAACATATTTTTCCCGAAATTTGAATAACATTACTGCGGGCGGCGTGATGCAAAACACATTACCTCGAAGTGGAATGGCAAATAGCCTAGACACATAACTCTCTTGAAATGAATCACAGCATTCACAAGAAATATATTATTGTGGTGAGGTGAAATGGGGTTTAACGTCGCGTCCAAGATTATTGCACTCATATATAGCGACGTGCATGCACTTGTGTGTTTGTGTGTGTGGCTGCTTGTACTAGTCCGGACTGATGCCGATTTATAGTGCTAGCTCACTGAGATACCATGCCGCAGTTTAACATGAATACCCTACTCAGACACAGTACACTGACTCCGAGCCGACCAGCCCCTTAATGCCGAGCACCAGACAGGGTAACAACAAGTACCACCTTTTAACGTCTTTTGGTATCATGCGGTCGGGGATCGATCCCCGGACCTTCCGCTCTCCGGGAGGACGCTCTACCACTAGACTAGGGAGGCGTAGAAATATATTAATATGAACATTGCAACAGTCAAAATACTTACAAAGCCTATCACATTGTGGGCGGTATGGCATCCTTGTGGTTAAAGCGTCCAGTCTTCACGCCGATGACCCGGGTTCGAATTCCAATTTGGTACAATGTGAGAAGCCTATTTCTGGTGTCCCCCGCCGTGAAATTGCTGGAATAATGCTACGAGCGGCGGACAACCATTCTCGCTTATCACACGTCACAGGTGTGGTAGGGAAAATAATTCCGAATAAATGAGTATACATTATTAACACCAACAATATCAGAGTCAAGTAACTGCCACAAAACAGAACAGATGAGGGGGATTCGGGATTCAAACAGCTGTTCACATGATTCACATTAGACGCCGCACTCAGCAATATTCCAGCTTATGAAGGCGGTCTGTAAATAATCGAGTCTGGACCAGACAATCCACTGATTGACATCATGAGCATCGATCTCATGTCATTGGGATACGATGACATATCAACCAAGTAAATGAGTCTGGCCACCCGATCCCGTTAGTCGTCTCTTTCAAGCATAGTCGCCTTTTACGACAAGCATGTGTTGCTTGACCTATTCTAAGCCGGATTTTCACAGGTCCCACATCTATTGTTATAAATTCACTCGAGCGTGTTGACTGGTAAGACAATAGGTGATCAAGAGGGGCATTTCATATATAACACAACTTGTATCTCAAAACACACTGTACTGAATGAAAACTTAAAAATATATATCAATGAGTCAGTGAACATATTAATCATCTAGTACGATTTGGGATATAAAACAAATTACAGACAAGAAACAGTATTCCCCTGTGGCAAAGCGCAGATTGATTTACAGAAAATCCCAAAATCTAAGAGGTGTCGTCACTTGGCTTTGACGAATACAAGTTCAGGTTTGTACGCTTTATGTCAGTTTTGGAAGTTGATTACCGAGCGTGTGATTCGGCACTTTCACTTGGACATGTAAATACTTTCTACTGATGTTATGATTTTCCCCCTCGTAGTGGGTGAGTGAGTGAGTATGGTTTTACGTCGCTTTTAGCAATATTCAAGCAATATCACGACGGGGGACACCAGAAATGGGCTTCACACATTTTACCCATGTCGGGAATCGAACCCGGGTCTTCGGCGTGACGAGCGAACGCTTTAACCACTAGGCTACCCGACCGCGGATTGACTTAAAATATATTGGACAATTGATATTCGCAAAAAATATTGCAATGATTTTTTCCCTTACCTTGCCTTTTTCATAGATATAATTGAGTATGATGGACTTCATAACGAAATAAACCTACCACCGCTTCATTGACCAGTTGCATGAACGTATGATTACATCTCCCCGATCTTTCATAGTCAATTGTTTATGTAATACAGGGCCTAGATTTTCGAAACGATCGTAGCCCTAAAATTATCGCAATGTAATCGTAAGGAAATCGTACGCTATCGTAGCCTATTTTCGAAATTATCGTAGCCCTAAGCTATCTGAAGTTTGTCGTAAATCTAAGATAGCCCCATAGATCTACCGTTCGTAAGTTCATCCAAGATGGCGGCATACTTTGCCATAGATATTTTGTCAAACAATAAGTCTGCTTTACGCTCAAACATTGACATTTCATTTGGTAAAACTGTGTGATTCAAATTGACACTTCGAAAACACGAAGGACGCATCAAAAATAAGTCAGAAATGTTCTTAATCGCAAGAGCGATCCACATAACTATGGAGTCGATAGCTGACAATACATTTCTATCCGAGTCCATGCTGAAGAAGTGTGAAACAACATACCTTTTTGATAATTTAGGAAGGATTTAATGTCAGCAGGCTATAGTAATGACCGTGACCTTATTGAAAACTCAGGGGCAGCTAATCTTATTTCATGCTCTAACTGAGAGTGGTTTCCCTTTGTATTCGCCAGGCTAAACCTTGCCCAACGTTACAGTTTTCATAAAGCGCAGAGTTCCGTTGTTATATTTTCTGGATCGCATTTGGGACAATGCTTTAGTGTATATTTTCGTATTTTATAAAATTATATCAATCTACATGTGTGATGAAGTGCAAAACAATCATTAGGTTTTACATCTGAAATGGTGTGGGACGAGCGGTTTTAACAGTTGAATAGTAACTATAGAGTATATTTATTGATTTAACAAGGAAATCCATGTGATCAAATATTTGTGTAGTATATTCGATTAAACAATATATTCTTTTAAAAACAACACGTAGGACATCTATGTTATTGAAAGACAAATATTGGATAACATTGGATAGAATTATCATTAAACCGCCCGCATGTTATCAGAAATGAGCGGGCCACTGTAACTTGATAATGCCCTCATATTGCTTACGACGGGCCATTATCACGCCCGTTGTTAGGTGACGTCACGTTCAATAGTGACGTCATCTGGTTTGTTCTATGTTCTATAGTAACATTCGTCTTGATTGCAGTAAATGTTTCAAAACCGATATTGTTGCTTCATTTTATTTGATAACAAATTCCATCCATTTTAGCTATAATCGGGCAGTTAATGGAAGACCTCGGGCTTCTGCAAATGATAATACCCTGAAAAATAGCGTTACCGTTATATTGAACAACTGCAACAGGTGATTAACGGCATAGATATATTCCATTACATATAGCATTTTTTAATAATTTTGACAGCAAAAGTTACGCCCAGATTTTCGTATGGTATTTTCAAGAATGGCGATTTGTAAAATCAAATTAAAAATAGGTTCGCATTGGGTTTAAAATGTCATAAAAGCAGGAAAGTTTGAACTCTTATTAGCTCTTCTTAATCAAAAAGGATAGAAATGGAATACATTATATGTATGTTCATGTCAACATGTGGCATGTTCCATGAGACAACATAACTTGACAATTCCAAATTGTCTCCCTTTGAACGAAAATTAGTATATCACTTTCAAATTTTGAAAATAATTATGGATCTAGACAGATACAAAAATATAATTACATCATCTAAATAACATTAGCTTTATATTGTATTTGAGTCCTTTGTTTATTCGTGAAACATATGAGATGTATAAATAGCAAGACAAACTTAACAAGCTTACATTGTCATTGTAACTGGCTCGATCGTGGGTGCGCTGCTTCCTGAACAAGTTTTGTTTTGAGTGTTTCCAGGTATAACACATAAACACACAAAAACATGCAGTATTGTCAAACTGACCCAGTATACATCACGTATCATCAGACTTTAACACGCATCTTAAATCCTGAACGCCTGCTGTTCTATCAAAGGTCTAGTCATTGTCATTTAGAATAACGTCCCTTACTTTCGTCCTTGACTTGTCGCTATGTGTTTATTTGAAGTTCTGCGCGCTCGCGGGAGGACCATTAGCAGGGAAAATAGTGAAGTATCTTTCGGCACATTATTTCAATTCTAATAGCGATTAACCTTTTTGAGAGGCATTTGTGGTAACACAACACTTATTGACTTAACATTTATTGGGTTTGAAAAAGCCTTTGCATTGAAAACGAAGGCTATTTGTGTTCGGGTTGTCGTGGCATCTTTATATCATAAGAACAAAACGTCTACATGTAGGGCATATGTAGGATTGTACGGAATGTCACTCAAATAGTTGCTCGTTAGACAGTGTGACCTAACAATTAATGTGATCATGAATTCCGTGTCACTTTTCCATGTTGTTATTGCTAGCGGCTTGGAAATCCCCGTGACGTCATTGGGAAATACCCCGCTTTTTCAATCTCTAACACAAATGAGTTCTCTGTCAGAGTTAGATAGTTTCAAAAATCTATCTTATCTTAACCTTAAGATATCTTATCTTTGAACGTAAGTTGTTAAGATTTATCTTAGCTACGATCGTTTCGAAAATCTAGACCCAGTTTCAATACGTAAATTATTTAAGTGTTGTACAAACATAAGATATGACTGTTTTGGAAACATTCAACTTGATAACAATTTATGTTTGTCTGTTTCCGTACGGTGGATCTGTTTCTTTATGCATATGAATCGGAATTTATGCTCGGATTGGCACAATGATTACGAAAACAGGGTTATTTGGCCCAAAAGTTTAACTTAAGCTTCAGGTATATCGATGATCTGATATCATTCAATAACCATCAAATAGCCACTGATTTACCCACCTGAACTGGAAATGAATGAGACCATGAGACCGCCTCATCTGTTTCATATTTAGATCTATGCATAAAGTTGGTTGGTTGGTTTGTTGTCTAACGCCGCACTCAGCAATATTCCAGCTATATGACGGCGGTCTGTAAATAATCGAGTCTGGACCAGACAATCCAGTGACTAATGTAATGAGCATCGATCCACGCAATTGGGATCGATGACATGCATCAACCAAGTCAGCGAGCCTGACCACCCGATCCCGTTAGTCGCCTTTTACGACAAGCAGTCACCTTTTACGGCAAGCTTGGGTTGCTGAAGACCTTTTCTACCCCGGAATCTTCACGGGTCCTATGCATAAAGATTCAGATTGACAAAACACTCTCCACGAGACTGTATGAAAAGAGGGATGACTTCAACTTTCCAGTGGTCAACTTTCCCTTTATGTCGAGCAATATTCCAGCAGCTCCAGCCTTGGGTGTTTACATTTCACAACTTTAGAGATACAATCAAGCATGCTCTTTCTACAAAGGTTTCAAAGAGTGTCATACGACTCCTGCTCAGAAGTTGGTTGGTCGAGGTTACAACATTCAATGCCTCGGTAAAACTTTAAAAAATGATTTATGGTAGACACGTAGAGGACATTTTGATATCTGACGAATCATCTAGCTCATGATAAAGTCGTAATCGACCAATCGACACTGCTTTCTGCAGAGATTTCTATTGGATATGGAAAGAGTTTTGACGCTTTATTTATAATCAAACCTTAAAAAAATGCGAGTTACATTTCCTCCCATATATATATATATATATATATATATATATAGAGAGAGAGAGAGAGAGAGAGAGGGAGAGAGAGAGAGAGGTTATCACGCGAGTGTGTTTGGGGATGGTAAATCTCCTGCATTAGGAATAAACATTGTATTTAGCGAGCCTTGGCGAGCTAAATACATAGTGTTTATTCCTAATAACCTCTTTATCATATAATGTCATTCTTTAATTCTGTGCTTCAAAATCACTTTCCCTCTTTCACAAACATTACCTAAACATTAGGAGTTTTCCTTGAATGCGCGCATTAATATTTATTACGTCACAGGGTA